TTTCAATTCCCTGCCAAATTTTTTTTTTTTTTTTTTTTTTTTTTTTTTATGATTCAGCCAGTCTAGAACTGATTAGTTAGGGAAATGCACTCTTGGTTTTAAACAATGGTTATGGAGATTGTAGAAGATAATAGCGATAGCTGCAGTGAGTGATGCCAAGTCAGAAGGGCAGCAGGGAAAAAACTGCAGAGGTTTCTTTATCATCTTAATTTGTGCATAATGTATGGAACAAACCTCTTTTAAGAGCAGAGTCAGATACAAAAGATAAAGTAACTTGTTGGGGGTCTCACTTTTTCTTTACGCTTTATTCTACGATGGAAGAAGCAGAGTCAGTCAAGATAACTGAATGGAACCTATCAAATTATACGCTCATATCATATGCTCCATTACAATGAGGCACTGACAACACCATCAAACTTAAATTGTAAAGGCAGCTGACATGCAAGCAGTGCAAAGTGCCATTTGAAATACGTTTGCATTGGATAATCTTTTTGGTGATGAATTTTTAAGAAAATGCAATGATTACTCCTGGGTTTAAAGAAGCATTCCAGAGCTGTCATGCATCCCATGTCATGTCCCAAAGAGCAGCTTCATATTCAATGTCTTGTCTGCTAAAACCCGAGCACAGTGGGTTGGCTATGAGTGTTTCCACTGCAAAGCTCTTACCTTACCTTGTGATGGGACAGAAGAGAATATCAGGATGTTAACGCAGTGTTTCTGGGAAATACAGTTTTCTGGTACTTTAAGATGTCAGCCAATACTACTTTTATTTAGAGTCCATCAAACTATCATTACTTGAGATGCAAAAATGTGAACTAGACTCTCTTATTTTTCAAAACCCTGCTGTTTAGAGCTTTCTGTTGGAGGATTTCATTTTGAGATTCTGTAAGGATTGCCACTTTGCCTCTAGATCTGAAGTTCTATTTGGCACATTGACATCTAGAATACTGTTTCACAAAAGACTACTATAGGCAGAAAAAAAGAGAGGGGAGAAAAGTAAAGGTGGTATGCACTGTCTACTGGATGCACAGCTATGCCTTCTATAATAAAATGACCAGATACATGGATAAGAGAACAACAGTAGTTGTCATTTACTTTTGAAAAATCTCTACCTCTGTCCTTTGAAGATGAGAAGATTCACCATATAAATATGCCATTTGTATTTAATCAAGCAGAAGTATACGTGGGTACCGCTCTCTATGCACACTCTTGCTCTTTCATATTGCATAAAGAAAACTGATTAAGATGTGGTAACATGCCAAAAACACACTCAAAATGTTCTCTTTCAGACTTTCATAATATTTCTGTAAATACTGTGTGGTAAGCTGGCCTTTAAACTGAATCAGTTTTGACATCTGCAACGCTACTCGAAATGGGATACTATTTAGATAGTGTTAGCTTTGTAGCGACAAGCTATATGTATAAACCAATTTTTTATATTTAATATCTCAATTTATTTTCATAGGCATAGCTCTTGTTTGAATGTGTATTTTACTTTGAGTCCACATTATTATCTTCAATGTGATGTGCAACTATTGATTTTGTCAAACAGGCAGTAACTGAAATCTGAAAAGGAAGAAGTATGATAACGTGTAGCATGTGTGCAGTGAGGAATGAATGTTGTACACGGATTTCCATCGGTGTAATGATGCGTAGGAATTGTATGTCCAGCAAAGGTGCCAAGTGCATTTATGCTAAAATAGACAAAAGCATATAGATTATGAAATCCAGGGACACCAGGCAAATCCAGAAGGATGTTCAGCAGTACCAATTCTTTGTGATTTCAGTGAGTCCTATGAGAGGGAGCTCAGACCGTCAGGATGAAACCCTTTGATGAAGGAACATTTGCTTAATATTAAGACTAGAGGAACATTTTTTTTCTCCTACTTTAACTGAAGGGTTTTGCTCAGATTAAGTAATATGCCAGCTGCATTCCTGGCACACAGCAAACAATGAGATATTTTGCATAACATAGACAAAATACAGAAAAACAGCCTTTTTATTTCCTGTGATGTTAGCACTGTTTTTCAAACTTGAGAAGTGCTACCGTATAAGCAAAAGTAATACTGCAAATATAACTGCAGGATGCCACAATGCTGCTTTTTCTTCTGAGAAGAGGGGTTTTTCTTTACACTCACAGAGAGATTTTTATTTTTCAGTAGTTTGATTGGGTTAATTGGTATGTTTACAACTGTTGCAGATTGTAGAGTCTCCTAAGGCTAATATTGAGATAATGTATTTACTAAATGCTAAAAGATAAAGATGAGACGTCAGTGCACTGTTTCTTACTGTCCGTAACCTGTGAGAATAGACCAGGATTGGGGCATTGACATTGGTACCTCCTGCTGAGTTTAATGAAGGGAGAGAGTCCGAGCAGTTTAGCCATGAAAAGTCGTGGTGGTGTTATTCAGAAACAACCTGGGCTTTTATTGAAAATCCCACTCTAACTCTGGATAGCTTGTATGTATTATTACTAGTGTATATTAATTGCTGCAAGCAAGCGCCCAAGTTGTTTTTCCACAGAAGAACTGTTCTTTCCCATCTTACTTGCAGTTTATGCTTACATTAACCGTGATTAACAGTTCTCCAGACATGGGAATGAGTATACAGGAAGGAAGGAAGGGAAGGTAATACTGCCAGCTTGCACAATTGTGCTGGAAACAGGACGACATTTAAGAAAACCGTGGCACTGCCTTCATATTTTCCTACTTGGAGCGGCAGAAAACTCTGTCCCTCTCAGTGGGGCAGCATCAAGGAGTAGGAAAGATCCTTGTACCTTGCAAGGACAGCAAAAAGAGCTCCCTGGTCCTTTGCCACAAGGGAAGTAAGGATGCAAGCAGAGGAAGGATGTGGCCTCTGGTATGACTGCCTTCTGCCACATGTAGAGCGTACAGCTGGGTGGCTGCTGAGTGTCTGATCAGTGGATGCTGGAGTTACCATTGTACTGAGATGTCCTGGGTGATTTTGTCTGTCTTTCTGCTCAGACCAATATAACATTAACTATTCTTGTTTCACATTTTCAAACTTTTCTTCAGAGTCATGAGAGTGGGATGTTGACAGTTGTTAGTAATTGTATTACTTCGGGGATCCTTCATGGGCTTTGTGCCTTATTCTGATCATACCACATGTCTTGTGAATGATGTTTTAAATTTCACATGCTCTCGGAAACTGGATGTCAAAACTCCCACTGCAGAATAGCCTTGAGCTTTTCATAGGTCTGTTAGACAAGATGGCTAGTATGCAGCGCAGGAGACTTTGTACAGAGAGGTAAGACAATCCCTAGAAAAATAGTTCGAATGTTCCATAATTTTTTTTAATACTAAAGACAGGCTGTCTTGGGAAAATGAGGGAAGTTGGAAGAAGCTGGGAGGTGTACAGAAGAGTCTGAGAGCGTGGATGGGGCAGAGGAAGGGAAGAGCTGAGGTGTATGCAGGAGAGAGTGCCTGGGGTGCTGTAGGTCAAGTGCAGGGCACTTGAACCAGCTGCAGTGGGACAGATGATGGCAGCGAGGAAGTATGAAACGTAAAAATAATGCACAATACAGAATCTTACTGACAGAAAAAGGAACAGACGTGTGGAGAGAAGTGGATGTAGAGTTGAGCTGGCTCAACAGTCTAGCTGGTCATGTAGAGATTATAGGGAAAATATGAAGAATGCAGAGACAAGAGGCTGAGGAAGGGAGCTGGCTAGCATGGCAGGGCTCTTTCATCACAGGCTAGTAAGATAGCCTGTGAATCTGGAAATCAGATAGCTCTTACTTCTGCATGTTCATCTCAAGCTAAATTTTGGTCCTGAAATGCTCAGTCATGCTATTAGGAGCGGTTGTTTCCTCCTGAAAGCTCCAAAAAGCGAATGTCAATTATATACGTGAACCTCAGCCAAACCTCAGCATGGAGAACTCGCTTATCCTGGAGTCACACAATAAATCCAGCATTACAGTGTGCTCAGCAGAGGCAAAACAAACATTTAACAAGGAAAGGAAGAAGCTTCAAGTGTCTGCTTGTGAAAGAGATATGCTGTGCAAATAAATTACCTGTTGGGCTACTGAATTGCCCACTCCCTAAGGAATGTGCAGTATTTACATGAAATTAAAGTAAAAAAACCCCAAACAAAACAGTTGTCACAGAATTCCCAGCTGAAAACGAAATAGATTTGCTAGGAAAAGTGACTGTAGTTTCAAAACCAAGTACTTGCATAATTCCACGTGCAGTTGACTGCTCCAAAGGATTGATAGCTGGTATCTTACCAGTGTTGCATTTTGTTTTGTTTGACCGTGCTAATAACTATAACCATCCTTTCCTTTCCTGGTATTTTAGGTTCAGAGAGAACTGGCTGCTGTCATTGCCTTGAAAGCAAGGAAGTCAGGTGAGTCAGGCTGGACTTTAGAGGGGGTTTGTAATGCTGTTCCCTTTTGTCGTTTATTGAAGTATTTGAATTGTCATTGCTGTCTTATTAACATGGGGAAGCAAAGATAGCAGACCTTGTTCCTCTCTCGCTGGAGAATCTGTGTATATTGCACAATGCAATTACTGTCAAGCTTCGCTTCCCCTAGCTCGTCACATCTAATGACCTAGCTGATAAAATCGGAGTGCTACAGTTGAATGTGAACTTGGGTCTCTTTCTGGCCAAAATCACTATTTTCTCTGGGCTTGCACTTTATAAAAGAAGCTTATGTCTTTATTTGACTTACATTTAAGACAAATAAGTTGATAATTTTCCTATGTTTTCTTTTACGGCCCAGTGTCTCACGCCATCTTCGCTGTGTTTTACCTGCCCAGTCAGGTGTATTTCTTTATACTAAAGCAAAAGGACAACTTCATGCATGAAGGCATTCTTTCCTGAAGACTTGTCTATACATCCGCATGGTTGCAGAGGCAAGTCTCTGTTATCAGGGCAGTAGAAGGGGAAAGGCAAATGGGTAATCGAAAGTCTCTGACAGTATAAGCATTTACAGCAAATGCTGGTGATACAGTGCAAAGGCACTGAAATACGTGGTCATCTCAGCTCCGTCAGGGTTTGGTAGCACAGCCGCTTTCAGAAGGTATCTGCATTGCTGAGCTGGAGTGGAAGCAAGGGAGCTGTGTTTTCTGGGCACTGCAGGGGAACTAACAAAACCTACTTGGCCAGACCTGACTCTATACATGGTTAACTCTCTGGTGTCTTCATCTATAGTGCAGTTAATCTGCAGCAAGGGCAAACTGCATATGGTGAAGTGAGAGTTGAATGTGTTTCTAGAGTAAAACAGAGGTGGAGTTGCCTTAAATTATTGGTGTGTTCCCAAAGCCATTGAGGTCTTTGGGAGCATTTTCACTGAGCATCTCTTGTGATCTTCAGTGGTTGTGCTAGAAATTGAGATCATGTATCTTGCACTTTTTGAGCTATTTTCTGACCTGTTAATAATATTGTGTCATAATATCTGTATCTGTCTATCTACGGCTTACAAGTACAGCACAAAAGTTATTAAACATAACACATGCACTACATACAACATGACATCTTAAACTGGAGGCACCAAGAAGATGTGGCTGGCATATCTGCAAATATTTCCTTGTGAAAATGTAAGTATTACAAAAATATTCTATACACAGTTTGCTGCATTTTTGTCTGGAAATAAAAGGACCCATAGGTTGACCCACAGTCATCTGTAAGTGTAAATCTGCAGAAAGTAAACACAAATCTAAGTGTGAATTCAGACCTAAATTGCTTCCGTGTAATAGCTTTGCTTCTGAAACTGCTGTAGTAGTTTACGATGTTAAGACCCCTCAGCTGCTTGCCCTTACCTGGTATCACCCCAGTCCCACCTGAATTATAATGGCTGAACATGGAAATGCTTCTGCTCTGTTTCAGTGCAGAGAAAAACAGGCTATTTTAAGGAAGGGCTCAAGGTAACATTTTGTTTTGCTGTAAGGGCTAAGAATATGGTGCCATGTACCTTTTTACTTAGTGCTTACACAGTTGTAAGAAATCTCTTTCCCTGCTTCTCGGCAGTTGTGTTGGCAAATATTACTACTGCTACTGGCAATAAATAAAAACTCCATTCCCCAAAAGAGTTGATTTTAACCTGAGTTAGCCTCTCATTTCCTTTTGGTGGATGGCTATGTAAATGGTTGTGTCAGTAGAAAATGGGATGGGGGTTGGATTAGGAATGAGCTGCAGGAGATGACAATGGGAAAGGAGGATAGCTCTTGGAGTCTACTTTATACTAGCGTAATTGTAACCCACATTGAGCAAGTAGAAATATTTCAGTTAAAAATCACAGCCTTAAATAAACAAAGCTCCCTATAGAGTTTTGAAGTGCTGACCAGCCTTTCCTAATACATTAATGTAAACACTTAAAATATCAGTTTAGATCTGAACAAAAGATACCTCTTTAGTGAGTTTAACTAGTGCATGCTTGTTGTTGAAATTTGCATTCCTTTATGCCTCATCTTGGACGACTGTAAAAAATGGCTACATGATCAGGCATAACTGGAAGGTCTAATTTAAGTTAATGCCTTTACTACAGTATGAGCAGAGTAAATTAGGGTGGTTGATTATGCTTTTTTATTTTATTGCTGATGGTTAAATTCACAGCGTAGCAGTTACTGTTAGCAATCAAGCTATGGTATGCTGTGCCTGGTGAAGTGAAGCGTATCTCAGAGAAAGTACTTCTGGAGCTAAAAGCCACAGTATCTTTCAAAGATACTGTTCTTCTAGCCCTCTCCAAGACTCCATATAATTCCAGGAAGTAAACCAACAAAGATCAGACAAAGGGTTTATTTTGGCATGAAAAGAGTGGAACATGGCCATTGGGCCAGCTGCCCTGGGTGGCTTCCAGGCTGGTGTGAACGGTGTGGGCGCCTGGCTCATCTGCCCTGGGATTCATGAGTGGGGAGTGCAGGCGACGGGCACGGTCCTAACCTGCTGGCTGGAACCTGCCTGCAGTGGGTAATCGGTTCGTTAACTGAAAGCTTTCCTAGAGCTCGGCAGTGCAAAAAACAAAGCTGTTGTGCAGAAGTTCCTGTACTGTTTTTGACGGTTTGGTGGTTTTTAAATTACAGTGTTTAAAAATACTTCCTCTAGATGGCTGGTTAGCGCTACCAGTAAGAGCAAAAAAAGAAGTATTTTTGCTTAATGCAAGGACTGTGTAATTTGTTTCTGAATTACTTTAATTTCTGGATATACCTCTGCCCTTGGAGAGGCACTTCACAGTGGTTTAATTGTACTAGAAAAACTGTCTGATTAAAGCTTTCATATTACTTGTCTAGGTCTGTTGTAGTAATCACTGGGTTACATTGCACGGAAAGTGCTATACAAGCACACGAACACCACAGGTCCCTCTGCAAGAGGTGAAGAGGGTCCAGCTAGGAAGGTTTGCTATGCTTGGAGGGGAGGGAAACATTGGCCGTGGTTACCCAGGTGAAACAGTTCATTTTTGTTTAAATGAAGCTTGGGTTTGCTACCTAGTATATGTATGTGAGAAGAAGTAATTACAAGGATTTCAGTTCTTGGGCCAGAATGGCTGTCTCAGAGATTTAGACACTGTATCTACTGACAAAATGCTTTGAAAACCACGGTAGACACCTGAGCCTGCTGTGGGGTAGGGCAGAGTATCAAATTCTCGCTAGTACAGGATCTGACTTGATGGAGAACGTCGGCTACCAGAAAATAAAAACTCACTAGGGTGTGGGGGAGAATGCCTTTCCTGAGGAGGTGTTCTGTTTTTATTGTGGGGTGGAAGAATAGGAGAAACACATAAAACTGACAGATGGCTGAAGGAAAAATGCAGAACCTGAAAAATGAAAGACTTCTGTGCTGTGGAAAAAAGTTCCATTTTCGTATTTCAGATGTGTACTGCAAGTATACCACTCCAACAGCAAGGCGTAAGCTGATAGAGAGGTACTTGAGAGCCCTCATGCAGAAGGAGCTCAGCATTTTTAGCTTCTTTGCAAATAAAACTAAAAAAAGGGTAAAATTAATGTCTGTAATCCTGAAGCTTTGATGGATCTCAGTAACACTGTTGACTAAAAAGCACATTTATATTTCATTAGAATAAAGCTCTCATGATAAAGGTGACCTAAGAGGGGGAAATGAACTTGTGCACTTCTCTGTGGCTTATAAAAATGCATTAAAATTGTTCTTGCTTAACCTTAGAAATAAATTGATTGAAAGCTGTCTTCCTTGGTTTGGTAAAAGGTCTTGGGGAAGCAAGTAGCTGGAGCAGACGAGAACTTTCTTTTTAGTTGTAGGCACTTGGCATTAGAATTGTTGTGTTTATTTATACCTTGCTGGCTTCTGATGGCTTCCACAAATGTGCTGAAACATAAGAGAAATGCAGCCCCTTGTCTGAAGGTTTACAAGGGTTGGCATTTATCTCAGTTGCTTGTCATGGCTCATGACATGTTTCTTATGTGTTAGAGATGGTAGCTAAAACAAGGATAAAAAGCAGCAAATAGCCTAAGGCTGGAGGCTTTAGCCGGTGGCGTAGCTACACAGGTACATCTGAACTGATCAAAATCTGTCAGGTAGATGCTCTGAACTGGTGTTAATCCCATCCACAAACAAGACGCCTTGTGTTTCTGTGCATGAACCTAGCAGCACCCCGTGGCATCACCCAGCAAATTCCTTTAACTTTATGTCTAAAGGAATTCCTGTAATTTTATTCATGCAAAGGGCCATTAGTAAGAGCATGGCTCTGGTCCTTGTGTTTCTGAATACAGGGGCTAATTAAGATAATAGCTGACAGAGTATCGATGACGTAGGAAAAGGGTGACTGCAGCTTCTCCCCAGGCATTGCGGGAGCAGCGGCAGGGCTATGGGTGCTTCTGCCTCACACTGTGAAGCGCAGGGCAGCTACAAAAGTCCTAACACTTGTGTGTGTTTTTGCTCCCCCTTAAGAATGATATTCAGGTTTCCACAATATAGTTAGATGCTTTTGAGTCATGCCATTCTTAAATTGACAAGCTGTATTGATTTTTTTTTAAAATGGGTCATTTACATTTTATTTATAATAATATGACTTTTGCAACATATTAACTTTATATTTGAGATCTTCTGGATTACCTCCACCCTATTCTGACATATATGTATGCATATCCACCCTTCCCCTTTTCTTTTGTATTGCTTCTCTGAGGACTTAATCGCCTATGTGATTTGTTTAGTATTTTTATTTTAGGGCAGACTATTCAATATGAAGCAGTCACTGGGGCTTGAGCTTTGCCGACATGAATGAAAAGCAAGCTGTGAACAGCTATTCCTTTTCCCAGCCACTGCGCCACCTCTACAGCCCTGCTGTCAAGAGCCGATTGCATGACTCGACTCGAACACGCTCCAGGCAATATCAGCCTGGGTAAAAACGTGAGGCTGGGTCAGGTTAGGAGTCCTTC